ATAAAGAATTCAATACCATTCTATCCTTAAATCATTCGTTCCGCTTTTGCTTGAATAAAAGTATATACTTATCTGAACATTCCCTAGTGTATTGTCTTTTGAATTCGACCTGTAACCCTCTCGAGACTCAATTCGACGGACTGAATTGACTTGTAACTTCGATTTGGCTTATTAAGATTCGAATTCTAGAACGTTTGTGGAATAAAATATTGTAGTTCAGAATTGTGGTAGAGAACGAAAATTACAATTGGTTACTAAACTTGGTTAATCCCTCACGTACCCTTAAAGTTATCCCTGGTATCACTTGATCATCGTCCGCTTTGCATCATCATCACCTTTAAGATCATAATAAGATATTCTTAAATTATCATCATCGCCCTTGATATCACCCCTTGATCATCACCCCTTGATCATCACTCTTAACAGCATCACCCGTCATTGCATTACCCCCTCATAATCCCCTATTGATATTAAAGTACCGCTCCGTAGCGTCATATTGCACAATTAGTCCTCTAACAAATATAAAAAGACCCACTTCGTTTCTCTAAATTTATCTTTATCTCCCCGTACACCGTTGGAGCTAAATTGGCCTTTTATCCATATTATTTTCTTAAGCTCTCCCATCAACGGTTGCACTAGTAATAAAAATTATATAGATGGTAAGTGCAGAATTCTATACTAGCTTAATTCTATATTTTAAATTACTCCAGCACGTATGGATATATAGATTTTGTGCCCGGTTTATGGCGCAGATTTCCTGAACTACAAACCAGGTTTCAAGTTCAGGGGATTCAAAACAAAAACATCTGTCTTGTCAAAAATCTGCAAAAAGTTTTCCTTAAACGATTTTATTATATAATTTGATAACATCTAGCTTCAATATAAATGCTAATCCTAACATCAATGGACTTTTAAAGAATGTTTTGACTGCCAAGCCTGGCACAGAATCCGTACGCATGTACGTACGTACGTTCTTACCCCCTCTCACAAAAAAAAGTTTCTAAAATAATCCATAACGGTAACGATAATGGCAACTGCAGAACTGATTAAGTATACAGTGTAACTTTTGTTGGGAGATCTTATGAAATTATATGGATAAAAGGCCAATTTAACTCCAACGGTGTACGGGGAGATAAAGATAAATTTAGAGAAGCGAATGGAATATGACACTTTGAAACGAAGGCTTTAATATTAATAGGGGTGATTATGGGGTGATGCAACTACAGGTGATATGTAAGGGATATCTCAACAAGGATGATTAGGTAAAAGCAGACGATAATCAAGTGATATCAGCGGTAACTTTAAGGGCACGTGAGGGATTAACTGAGTCAAGTAACCGATCGTAAGTCTCGTTCTCTACCACAATTCTCGCAAGTCACTAAGGTGAATGGCAATATCTGATTCCACAAACGTTCCAGAATCCGAGTCTTAATAAGCCAAATCGAAGTTACAAGTCAATTCAGTCCGTCGAATTGAGTCTCGAAAAGGTTTATTAAAGTTACAAGTCGAATTCAAAAGACAATACACAAGGAAATATTCAGATAATCATTTATTTAATCAGAAGTGGTACGAGAGGTTTATTTATTTACTGATGGAAGGGAAACTGATATCAATGAGGAAATGGCAAGTTATGTTTTATTGCTTGGCACGGCTGGTCTTCAAATGAATTTATAATTTTAGAGGAGTTTACACCTTAAAAGCTACGTTTACACGACTACGGGCACGTCTACACCACCACTGGGATGCTTAAACCCCATGGGGGCGTTTACACATCCATTTCTTAGTCATTTTCTTGTGATTATGCAAGTAGATGATTGTAACAGGTTCAAACGACTGTGTTTACACAATCACTGGCGTGTTTACACGCCTTGGGTAACATTCATATGATTAAGCCACCAAGCCAACATCATTAATACACGGTGAAATGATCACATGTAGTACAAGCTTATATTATACAAATTAAATTATTTAAATTTTAAAAAATTTATTGTATATTTTTATTAATAATTTTGGTAATTTATTTTTTATATATAAAATAATTAAGCTTTGTTATTTTAAAATATGGAATTTTTTTACTATAATTATTGCTAATTTGATTTTTATTAAACTCAAAATTTTATGTTTTAAAAATTCTTTATTTTAAGATCCTTTTTAAATTTTAAAGTTTTTATTGAATATTTAATTAAAAATAAATATATAGTCAAACCTCTCTATAATCACATCTTTGGTTTTAAGAATTTGGTGCTTATAGAGAGTTTGTGCTTATATAGAGGTTAAATTTTATAAGTATTATATAAGTTGGTTTTAAAATTTTATGTGATTATAAGCAAATATAACTATAAAGAAGGTACTATAGAGAGGTCTTACTGTATACATTTATCTTTGATTTTTTATTATAATAATAATGTTTAATTCTTTGTTTATCCCGATCAGAAAGTTTAAATTGTATTTTTCAACAAGTTAATCAGTTAATTTTGGAGCTTGCAATAATAAATTTAAAATATTTTTCTTTATTATTAGATAAAGTTGTAGTTGAACTAGGATCTAATAAAATTTGGTTATTAATAGTTTTGATTGTTTTTTGTTATTTTGTTTTATTTTTTTTTCTTGATTTTTTTTGCAAACTATTATTTAATTTTTTTATTTCTTTATATTTATATTTTATTATATCTAATTTTCATTGTTTTTTAGAATTACAATGTTCAGTGCCAAGAATATCTTGCTATAATATTGCTTTTAATCTTTGCAATCTACTTTTATATACCGTAAATAATTGTTTATATTCTTTATTATATAATTCTTGTGCTGATATAAATAAATAATATTTTTTTAAATTAGAAAATTCAAAAGTATCAAGTAAATTATTAATAAGATTTCAGACTAGTTTATTATAATCTAGAAATAAATGCTTATTACAGCTTTTAACATAATCATTTGTAATATTAATAAAGCTATGCTAACCTTGTTTGCTTGTATAATTTAATTTTTAATTTTAAATTTTTAATATCAATAATATTAGTTGTTTTTTACATATTTTGTTTTATAATTTTTATTTCTAAAATTTTTATTGTTTTATCAAAAGCATAATAATTTTTATTATTTGTTATATTTATTGAATAAACTAAATAAAGTATTACTTGTAATTTTGAATTTTAGCTTAATTGTGCAAGAAATAAAATTACTAATTCAGAATATTATAATTTTTCTAATATTAAAAAAAAAGATACAAATGTACTAAGAACTTTAAATTGTCAATCATAGTTTTCAGTTTGTATTTTTACTTTATAAGTCTTTATTAATCTTATTCAAGTAAATAAAAATACTATACTTTATTAAATTATTTTTATATTTTATTATTTGTGATATTTTAATATTATATATATGTGAATGAATTTTACTAAAACGCACCCATGGTGTTTTACACCTATGTATACATTATCTCAAAAACTGGCTAATTAATCGATATGTGGTGTTCTAAGTAAAAATGTTCTACGCCCCAAAAACCCTTCCCAAACCCTAATCCTAACCTTAATATTAACTTTAACGTGAAAAAATTGGTGTTAAAAATTTTATATACAAAACTTATAAAAACTTAGAAAATTTTAAAAAACATAATAAAAACATATAATAGGTGCAAAACCACCATAGGTGCGTTTTATAATAATTGTATATGAATTGCACTTCTAGTATCAACCTATAAAAATTTTAAAACTTTAAATATAGAACAATAATTAGCAATTAATTCTAATTTATCTAAAAATATATATCTAATACTGCAGCTAAATTAAAAATTCTATAGTCAGAAAATATAGTTAATAAAATACTATATATCTTATTTGTATACTATTAACCAATTAATATTCAAAAGTTTTTATATTTATATTGAGCTATTTTTAATAAATTACTTTATCTGCTAAAGTATCTAATTTTTTATTAATTATAAATCCAATATTATTTTTATATATTTCTAATAATAAAAAAATTTCTTATTTTTTGTAGATATTCTTTTATCTTTGAATATAACTATATTTGAAGATATATATTAATATTCATATTCAACTTGTGAAATTATTTTTTGGTATATTATATTTATACAAAAATTTTGTATTATAACTATTTTTTACCAAATTTTTAAAAAGTAATATTTTGAATATATTATTAAATATTATATTTGGTCCTATAACTGAGCTATTAAATCACCTTTTGATAGATTAGAAAATATTCAAAAAATCGGTAAAGGTGGGTTCAGCACAATTTATTCTGCTACATGGATTGATGGTAAACGAGTTTATAGTTTGGATAACATAAATAAAAAAAGTTAATACCTGCACGTGAGCAATTTTGCAAAGTGGCTCTTAAAAGTTTAAGTGGAACACAAAATGTTTCATTGGATTTTTTAAATGAGGTAAGAAATTACACAGTTTGTCTTTAATAAAAATAAAATAAACAACAAATTATTTTTTTAAAACCCATTATGAATGTCAACTTGGAAGACTTAACGGAATAGAAATATATGGAATAACTTATGATATAAATAACAAGGAATACCTGATGGTTTTTGAATACGAGATCTTCGACATTATTTGTCAAAAAATTTTACAAGTCTTACCTGGAAACAAAAATTAAAACTCCTTTATTCTATATCGGATAATCTAGATTATATTCATCGAAGATATGTACACAAAGATCTTCATAGTGGCAATCTTTTTCCTAGTATACTTATAGTTACTGGATGTTTTGATTTTAATGCTTTAATTTATACTATTTACAAGCGAAGATGGCGCCACCGGCGCCCCTATTGCGTTACTTGTGTCAATGTTGGTCAAATTCATTAATATATATCAGATGATATGCTCATAATTATGTATTAAACAATTTGGATTATGTGGGTATCAAAAACTCGAATATGTATGATGATTACGTTATTAATTAATAACAAAAAAAATTATATCGGAATAATCCAGTATGGTGTTTAGTTGAATTTTAGTTGTGATTTTATTATTGTTAGCGAGGATCACCATAACAGAAAAGTAGTTGAGTTTGTGCGGCTTAATGCTGGCCGGTGGCTTCTCGCCTGCATAATGCAGGCGGCTGTCAACATGACTGTGTGATATTTAAATTCAGTAGCCATAATATGAAAACGGCAGGTTCCTTTGGGGGAGAGGGCTGGACCGAATTTAGGGCAGTTAGAGCCGAATTGGCTATGGCTGGTGGGAATTACGACTGCGATTTCCACTGAAATCAGCCTTTTTCTCACAGTACTCATTATTGAGTTAGAAAATTACTATATGCGGAAGGTCATTTAGAATCATACTCCTTCTGTAATCTTGGTTATGCGGGATTGGTCCTATTTCTGTTACTATTTTCACGGGGCACATTGCCCCCGCTTAGCACTCAACTCGAATGAAAGAACTCAATTCGAATGAAATTACTATGGTATAGGTGAGCAAATCTGTATAGTACAGACTCAATTTTTTAAAAACTACACCATACTGATATTAATCAGCTATAATTTCTAAGCCTAATAAATAGTTGATAAATCAGCCTGTACTATACGGATCTGTTTGCTTATACTATACCAATATATATTAATCGAGTGAGAGTGAAAACCTGGAAATAAATTTAGTGGTTTACCATGATTTGTTGCAGGTTGTCATTCTCATGCAATCATTTGAAGTCATGAGTTATGCACTTATAGGTTCTGACTAATCAGATACTTTGGAATGGACAGACACTCGTGACAGCGGGTAATTTTATTATACTTTGAAATTTTGGAGGAATATAGAAATACCGGTTTTGTTATAATAGGAGCTAGATTTCATCTTGCTTTTTAATTCAGCCATTATTAAATACTATATTTAGAAGTAAAATTGAATCAACAACGTAACTATTTTTAAGTAAAAATGATACAATAATATTTTTCTTGTTGGTTACATTCTTGATTCAAATCGGACGGACAGCACATGATGCCGAGTAATTTTATTATAATTTGGATAGTGTTAATAATAAGGCAATAATGATTTCACAGTATATAGGGGAAAAGTCAAACATAGAACCAAAGATTTCAGATTTAGGGCTTTCTAGCAGAATAAACGAAATTAATACAGAGAGTGAAACATATGGAGTAGTACAATATGTTGCTGATGAAATATTATTAGGCAAGCCTTATACAAAAGCTTCAGACATTTATAGTTTGGGTGTAATTATGTCTGAAGTGTCAACCGGAAAACTACCTTTTAAAGCTCTATCATGTGAAACAGTGTATAAACAAAAAATTTATGAAAGATTGAGATCCGAATTTGCAAAAGGTACGCCTGAATGTTATGTTGAACTTGCAAACAATGTGTGGATAGTGACCCAACAAAACGACCAATGGCTAAAGAAGTTTATGAGAAATTACGAGCATGGAAAATAGTTCTTGATAAAGGAACTGAAGTATTAAATGATGATGAGCTTAAAATTAAGAAAGATTTTTTGAAAACTGATGAAATTATTTTTTCAAAATTGGAAACATCGCGGCGGCATCTATAGATGTGTGCCTAAATTCGGGACGATTTACGGCATTACGGCATTTTTTATATTTTTGGCAGCCTCTTCAAAATGCCTATATGCCGAAAATAATTACGGCTGCCGAAATTATTTTCGGCTGCCGTAATTATTTTCAGCTGCTATAATTATTTTCGGCTGCCGCAATTATTTCGGTTGCCGAAAAGATAAACTCATAATTTCAGAATTTATTACAACTACAGATCTAGCTAGTGCTCAACACAATCAAACAAAAATTTGACACTCAAATACTTATAATTAATCGGACATCAAATGCTCAATAGATCAAACAAGTTATACATACTTACATATTACAGCTATTATCATAATTTCTGGGACACCTGCTCATTATCCGAAATCTTTTTGGTCGTTCGGTAAATTAACTACATCGCTGTCTTCGAACCTCAGTCCGGAGGCAGTGATGTAATTTCCGGAGAGTTAGGTAATTTACCGAACGAACAAAAAGATTTCGGGTAATGAGCAGGTGTCCCAGAAATTATGATAATAGCTGTAATGTGCGTATTATATAATTAACTTGATCAATGGTCGTTTGATGTACAAGTATTTGAGTGTCGCCAAAAGAAAACCCGACAATCAAAAATAGATCATATAGATCACTTATGAAATTCATAAGTGATCTATGTGATCTATTTTTAGATTGTCGGGTTTTCTTTTGACGACACTCATTTGATAATCAAGTTTTTGTTTGATTGTGCCATTGTTTCACCCTGTAATTTTGACCAATCAAATTTCAAAGTTAACTTTTTACAAAAAAAAAGTAGGTATGAATGTTAATTAGGGTGCACTTTCTGTGGCCTAATTAAAAGTGTTTCTTGTGAAATTTTACTAATAGGGCTGTATTGATCACTAACATAATGCGGTTTTGCTGGCTTAATTTTACATGCAACTTTTTACTGTGAAAACCCGAATGTGTATGTTTTAACTACCACGTTACACCTGATCTTGAATTTTGATTGGTCAAAAATTACTAGGACGAACATTTTTTTGTGGGTTCGCTATCTAAAATCCTTTATAGATTGTTATATATATTATCATAGACCATATAAATGTCTGGAGCTTCAATCTCTACGTAAGGTGATTTTTGGATACATTTGCATATAAATCTTATAAAAATTGTATCAAAACAGCAATTTAGAAAATTTTAGTTTGTCCGCACACGTATATTATTCGTTAATTATATGATAAGAACTTGACATATTATCTACTACTAGTTGACTATTTTAAAACGGTTCATCATTTTAAAATATTTTATAATTTTAAATATTTCATATTTGAAAATTTGGCAGCAATTTTTATTTCGACATACCCTAAATATTTTTAGGCACACATGTATAATAATGACGTCAGAAAATATTTTCGGCATTAGAAAATATTTTCGGCAGCCGAAATTATTTTAGGCAGCCGAAATTATTTTCGGCAATCGGATTATTTTCGGCTGCCGAAAATATTTTAGGCAGCCGAAATTATTTACGGTTTAGGCCTAAAATATTTTCGGCAATTTTTATTTACGGCAAGCCAAAAATAATTTAGGCACACATCTATACATAATATGTATATTTTACAAATGTAAAATTCATGTATTTGCTCTATTAAATAGTGATAACAAAGCAGGTTTCATTACTTTGTTTGATTATTAGTATATTTGTATAAACTGGTATAAATTGAGTTCGATAACTGGTTTCGCGTATATGGTTCGAAACAGTGTTCCAACGAGTTTTTAAGTATAAATTTAACCGGTTGGAAAAGGATAACATCCCTATACTTAACTATCTATATAAAAAACACATTGATTTAAAATTAAATATACATTAGCATCATGGCACGACTTACATCCGTACTACAGTGAGTACAACCTAGTCCCAGCAAATATAATTGATAAAATTCAAATTGCTAATCCTTCTTCAAAAAAAATAGTAAACAAAAAATACTATCTTAAAATGTTAAATTAAAACAAGCTAAACATCTCCAAGTTCTTAAAACTTTTTTAAATCTATTCATTAAAAAGTTATAGCAGGTTAAAGTTATAGTATTTTTATAATTAAATATGAAATTTGGCCACCTTTTATATATATGTAAAAAGGCAAATTTGGCCTCTTTAACCAATTAATTTAATTTAAAATTTTAAAATTTGGCCACTTTATATATAAATATTAGCTAAATTTCAAATTGGCTTCTTCATATATATAAAAAATAAAATCTGAATTTGGCCACTAAAAATTTTGATTTGCTGCGACTAGGTTGTACGCACTGTATAATATTTATAGATTCAATCAATATAAGACACCCAAACCAGTAATATAACTATTTTCATCGTAGCTTACTGTAGTACGGACGTAAGGACGTGCCCTAGATGTTAGTAATAACGCATATATAAATAGACTATTGGTTGAAATTCAAATACTGTTAAATTATTCGTTTGATAATTTGTTGTGCTATACTGTATTGATACATCACTTCAACTTTTATAAAGTTCATTAAGTAAGTCATAGTATAAATCATTGTTTCATTTCTGAACTTGATTACAGGATAAGAATTAAAACGTATGGTAAAATCAGATTTAATTATTTTGTATAGATATTTTATATCACGAATAACGGTCAATCTAAAAAAGCCCGGCCTGAGCTATAAACTTCTGGATTTGGCCTGGTCTATTCCAGACCGCACGTCTGAAATGTGTGCCAGGTTTGTGGCGCAACTGTGGCGCATATTGCCTAAACTACGAATCAGATTTCAAGA